GTTTCTCTGCGTAGCCCTGGTTATTCTGGAACTTGCTCTGTAAACCAGGCTGGCCTGGAACTCAGAGATCTGCCTGCCTCTACCTCCCTGCTGTGATTAAAGTTATGGGCCACCACCACCTGGCTCCTGCATTCTCTTAACAGCAGAGTGTAAAACACATTAAATGTGCTCCCCCCCACCCCCCGACAGGGTTTCTCTGTGTAGTTTTGGTGCCTGTCCTGGATCTTGCTCTGTAGACCAGGCTGGCCTCGAACTCAGAGAGCTCCGCCTGGCTCTGCCTCCCGAGTGCTGGGATTAAAGATGTGCACCACCACCTGGCTTTGAATTGTGCTTTTTTTTTTTTCAGGGCTGAGGACGGAACCCAGGGCCTTGTGCTTGCTAGGCAAGCGCTCTACCACTGAGCTAAATCCCCAACCCCTAAATTGTGCTTTTAAAAACAGTTTTCTTTTAATGTTTGCTTCCTAAATTTAGGTGTAATTGTCTCCTACTGTGCCCTGGACTTTGGCTGTTAAATTGATTAGATTAAAAAAACACCTAGCATATTAATAAGGTACACTTCCAAGTTTGTCGTAGGGTGTTTGCAAACAGGACTAACCTAGGAGGAAAGCCTGAGTGTGGGCAACACTGTCACACTGGCTGGGCCCCTGGCCTGGAAAAGGGGAAGACAGCCAGCCAGCTAAGCCCTGGCATGCCCTTTCCATTTCCTGTCTCCTAAGTCCCACCCTTTATGTCACTGACATGCCTTCTCCATCACAGCGGACTCAACCTGTCAGGCCACCTGAAGCTGCTGCTTCTCACCTATCAGGTCACAGCAGTGAGGTGAGGAACTACACACCCACCCAGATATGGTTAGTTTTCTTCTGCTCAAAGCCAACAATTTAAGAGGTAATCCACAAGAGACAACCCAGACTAGTTGCCTGCGTCTTGCTGTGACACATCCTCGAACATAGTAAGTACTGCACAGTCTTTTGAATTTGTATTTATTCCTTCTAGAAAACCTCCAGACATGAGTGGGAAAAAAACCCATTAGAATTATCACATATCCTTTAATTCTGCTTGAGCTGTTATTATTTCTTTTAAGTGCAAAATCATCAAATAACATTAAAAAATTTTAAACCCAAGGTTGGAGAGAGGGCTTGGCAGTTAAGAGGGTGTATTGCTTTTGCACAGGATAAAGTTGTGTTCCCAGCCCCCAAGAAGGAGGCACACAACTACCTGTAACTCCAGCTTCCACAGGAACCTGCAATCAAGTGCATATATCCTTCCTCCTTCAACAGACACACAAAAATTAAAAAAAAAATTTAAACTTCCACAACTTACATTTATTTTAGTGTTGAAAAGAATATGCCTATAGGCCTGAGCTTTGCATAAAATGGCATTAATCAAGATGATAACAGGATCATACTCAATGTATTTGTCTACCGGTTTCTGGCAAGATTTCTGAAAAAAAAAAAAAAGCAACAAAGTAATATTAGAGCAAACAAATTAATACATTCTGAAATGTTAAAGGACTTAAAAATTGGAGTCTGTTTTAAAGACTTTCCCAGCAACAAGATGTATAAGCAACTATTTAAAATCCTCAAATTAAAAATGTTTACCCATGTAAGAATTGGCTTCATGATGACTAAATATTAGCTTTTAGCTAATATTTAAATTTATATCAAGAACCCAAAAAGAAAGCCAGGTGTGGTAACATGTAACTGTAACCCCAGCATTTAAGACACAGAGGCTGGAGGATCCTGAGTTTGAGGTTAGCCAGCATGCACTGAATGGGGAGATCCTGCCTCAAAAAACAAAACAAAACAAAACAGAAAAAAATATCAGAAAATAATTTGATTTAAAGACCCACAACAGGCACAAAATTATTTCAGAAGATCTTACTTTCAATTCCACTTTTGGTTTATACAATTTTTTGGGGGTGGTGGGGTGGGGTTTTGAGACAGAGTTTCTCTGTGTAGTTCTGGTGCCTGTCCTGGATGAGGCTGGCCTCGAACTCACAGAGATCCACCTGCCTCCACCCTCTGAGTGCTGGGTAGGATTAAAGGTGTGAGCCACCACTGCTGGCCTGGTTTGTACGATTTTTTAAAAGCAAATCTCTACTACACTTTGGCTGTGGTAGAGACGGTGGCTCAGGATTTGGAGGAAGGTGTTCAACAAAGTTCCTATCTTCTAGCTTCTGAGAGCTACAGCTAGATAAAGATAGGGGACAATGTCAGCCATCCTAAGCCTGGGCTTGTCTCCAATGAGATCAAGAACCACAGAGACAGAGGAGAGCGCTGAGCTGTGTGCATGAACCTGAGCTGTGCAGCCTGGGTCTATGCCACTCAAATCAAGACTCCCTCAGCTTCCAAGGTGGACCTTCTGAAAGGCTGACAGGATAAAATGGAAACTGAAATAACGGGCACACAAACCCACCAGGACCACCTTTCAGTTACATCAAAACCTACAAGAAAAGCCAAGTGCATTGGAGAATTGTAACCCTGTACTTCCTCATAATAAAACAGATTCACTTTCACCTAGAAGAGACTCTCCGCTTTGTTCACGCCACTGTAAGAAATAACAGGCTTTTCCAGCTACCAGGTCAAACATTAGTTGTACTGTTCCCTCAAATATCAATCTATCTGTCAAAATGGAGGCACAGAGGTTCACAGTTTTACAGGTTACCTGAGCAAAGACTGAGTTAGAGATTAACCACAAGGGGCTGGAGAGATGGCTCAGAGGATTGCTCTTCAAGAGGTCCTGAGTTCAATTCCCAGCACCCACATGGTGGCTCGCAACCATCTGTAATGAGATCTGGCAACCTCTTCTGTGTACATAATAAATAAATAAATCTTAAAAAAAAAAAAAAAAAGATTAACCACAAGACACAGGCTCTTTCCCACTAATGAAGAGCCTGCCTCCTCCCCTCAGCCACGAGGTTCAAGCCCAGAGATGCAACATTATTGTTAAAAAACAAAACAAAACAAAACACTGTTAAGTTGGTAAGTCCCTTTCTCTACCTTTCAAAAGTTATCTAAATCTTACTTTCAGAAAGTACCCCAAATTTAAGTTCAGGAGTAGACAATTTTTGGAAACAGGAGGGGAAAACCAGCATCAGGAAACAGAGTCCCTATTCCTTCAGTATCATTTGTTAAGTCAGATGCCTGTGCAGTGGATGTTACTAGATCACAAGAGCTCTCCTTCCTCAGGGCTTCATGGGCTCCAAGAAGCTACTTACCTGGAGCCACTATTCTCTAACCTCGGGGTTAGAGAGGTAAGAAAGCATGCCACCATGCCATCTGAAGACTATTACAATGAGATGATGCCAGTGACCTGAACCTGAGGGGCGACTTCTAGTACCAGGCGGCACGCTGTGTGCTGCTGCCTACCCTCCTTCCATAGCACCCAACAGACAGGAGGCTCACTTAAGTCAGCTGACTTTCTCCATCAGTGGGACCTGCCTGTCATTCTATCAGCACCCCACTCTACTCTTTCCTCTTACCTTCACTTTGAACATAAGAAGGAAACAACACACGCACAC